GAAAATTAGGAGCAGCATAAATTGAAGTACCTGTAATAAATAAAAAAATTGTCTTCAATTGAGTTGTGGGAAAAAAAACATGGGAAGGCATTAAAAACTGTACCAAAACACAGAAATTGTGGTGTGAACCAACCCTTAGAGTTTTGCTATGTGTTTCCAGCATACTGGAATATGTGTGAACAAGTTCTACCAGTTTTATGGAGTGTTCACACCAGCTTGCATGCTAAAATGTGCACACCGGTGTGCATTGTGTAAGGGCAGCAAGGGCAGGTGTGATGCTTTGTTACTGCATATCATACTGTTTACCTTTTTTCTTTATGTGGACATGTTACTATGGGGGTTATTTACTAAAACTGGAGAGTGCAAAATCTGGAGCAACTCTGCATAGAAACCAATCAGCTTCCAGGTTTTATTGTCAAAGCTTAATTGAACAAGCTCAAGTTAGAAGCTGAATGGCTACCATCCACAATTGCACTAGATTCTGAGTGCTCCAGTTTTATTCCCCCCCCCCCCCTTAACACTATGTCAAGTTGTGACATGCTGTGGTGCATTGATATACATTGTGGTGAGTTGGACTAAATATATTACAGACATGTTGCATATTTTTAGCAGATCACCACATTTCAGCGCAGTGTTATGGTGGGAAAACTTGTTTTCTGTGTGTCCTTGTGTTTAATCTGTGTTGATCTATGCACATCAATGCAGCTTAGTGAATATGGTCTGAAGAAGCCCTAAGGCTGGCCATAGATCATGCAAATTTCTTTTCTTCAACCACGGGTTCATGGAAAGAAAATCTTTCGATTTCTCCATCAACACAGTCAGTGTTGATGGGGGAATCCCTCCCTCTGCGCTATTGTATTCTGACAACAGGAGTTTTCCCCGATATCAAAATACATGGATATTGCTTGCAGCTATACCTGCAGCCCACAGTGATAGCATATAAAAAAACCTGACAGGCTGGTTGTACTGAAGTTGATCGATGGATAGATCAACTTCAGTACAGCCAGCCTGCCTATAGAAAGATCAAAATTTGTTTGGTTCCTGCTAAACTGGCCAAATATCGATCTGTCTATGGCCGGCTTTAGACCTCATTCACACATTTGCGTTTTTACTCATTCATCGGAGCATGGTAAAGCACGTCATGAAAGGCAATGTTACAGATAGAGCATGTTCATATCTGTGGGCTGCACTGCAGTACCTTTTTTGAAAATAGCTCAGATCTGTGTTTTTTTTTGCCTGCTTTCATGTGTTGTGATGGCCAAAAAAGCCAATGTTAAATAGAGAAATTATGCATTTTACAGGTGTTTTTATGTGCTTTCAGCCCCTGATAATAAACCTCAGGTCAGGTTCACATCTATCTGTGTACACTTTTGTTTGTTTTTAGTGGTTTTTTTTTTTTATTACTGTGAGCTGTAGCATATTTACATGTGCTTTCATTATTCTGTTGGGCATCAAGTGCATGAAAATGCACAGAAAACTAGACATGCCTAATTTAATCAAATGCAAATCACCACAGAGATCTGGATAGCCCGGTTGAATATCATTGCTTCTTATAACACATGCATTGTTTTGGTGTTCAACACATTAAAACACAAAGGTGTGAATGAGGCCTTAATAGGTTTTTATTGGCAAACATAAAAAATGCATGACACATGAAAATGCATCAAAATTGTGTCAACACATGCAAAATGTGCATTAAGGTGCACTAAAAAGACATTAAAAAACACATGAAAATGGAAAGGCAAAGGTGTGAACTCAACCTACTTAATTCACAGCTAGCTCACTTGTCATTCTGCACTAATCACAGATTGGGGGACATTTCATTAGCACTTCACTCTAACCCCCACCCCCTTTTTTTAAACCCCCCACTTATCAGATGCTGGGTTGCTTGCAATTCATTACCCAATACTTACCCACCCAACAGATCAAGAGTTGTCCTGCTGCCATCTCCCTCCATTGGGAGGGGGCTGTCCAGGTTTAGGCCCAGCCTGCTACCCTGCTCCATTCATCAATGGGAAATGATGACTCCTGGGATATGTGATGTATATTTTGTTAAAGTGGTTGTAAACCTTTCCATATAGGTCTAGCCTCAGGTGATACACAGAGATTAAACAGATCTTCCAACAGAAGTTATACCTGCAGTATTCTCTTCACTACATCCATTCAAAGTCCAGAATTGTTTTTACAGTTTGTCTGAGCTTTCAGAAAACAGGGGGTGCTGGAGCTGGGAGCTGAAGTTACACTCAGGGAAGAGAGCTGAGGGGGAAGGGACACACACACACACACACACACACACACACACACACACACACACACACAGGAACAGAGCTGAGGCTGTCAATCACAGACCGTGCTGGAGATTCCTCCCTTGTCACCTTTTTACCTCTTGGTGTCAGGAAAATTTGTCAGAAGTGACTCATGCAGATAGCAGAGGAAAGAGGCAGAAAACTGAAATTTTACTTAGTGTTCTGAATTGAGACAAGTACACACTATACAGGGATTTGCTTTGTTCATATTTCATGTCAGGGGTTTACAACCACTTTAAAGCGGAACTAAACCCTCCTATCCTTTTCAGCCAAGGAAGCTGCTATCTTGGCCTCTGTTCGATCTATACTGCCATGATGCTGCACATGTGATCAGTTATGACACCATATTTTGATGGTTTGACAGTTTGGTCATGAGTACAAGCAAATGTGACAGTAATCATTCCTGGCATGTGCTGGGAATGTAACTTTTTTTTTTAAAACTGTTAAATTGATGGGTTTAAGTTCCGCTTGAAAACCAGCGAAAAGAAAATGATACCCATAGTGACCAATCAGAATTCTTGTTTTATATAGTTAATTGGCTCCTGTCTAAATTGTCCTTATTATGTGTATTCATGAATGTGAGTAAGTGACCTTAGATTGTAAGCTCCATGATTGCAGGTACTGATGTGAATGTAGAATATATATGTGAAGCGCTGTGTAAATTGATGGTGATACATTAGTACCTGAGAAGAAATAAATAATATAATTAGGGTGAAAAAAGGGTAAACTCTGTTCAGTTTCTATTGTCAGCAACTGTAATTTTGTGCGAAGTTCATTTACTCCAGTTTTAATACAGCAGCCCTATTGGGTCATATGAATTCATACTGTAGCATTTTCTTGTGTACACCAATGCATTTGTAAATCTCATTTTAATGTTAAATATTGTCTTCATTTTAAAACAGCCAGTAACTGAATGTTTATTACCACCTCACAATTATAGGTTAATAAAGCTCATTTCATCCCTAAATTATAGATAAAATTGTCGTTTTATAGTATTTTAACCTTTTATTAGCTATTTTATAGCATAATATTTTTTTCTTTTCTTCAAAGGGTTATAACACCAATTGTTAAAATTTTCCAACAGATTCATGGATGTGAAAGTGCCCTGTGAGAAAGGAGATGAAATAGTGTGCCTGCTCTCACAGTAGTGCCCTGCATCTGTGTCTTTCAGTAACTAGAGATGACACCGTTTCCTGCTTCCTCTTCAGCTGTTCACAAATGTGTAAATGAAATCATCGACTTCATCACTGAGAAAGGTTAAAGCTGAACTCTGGAAAAATTCAAAACTACCCTCCATGCAGTGGGATTTCCCCTTCACCGTGAGGGTTAAATGCTTGTTTTTCTCTAGGGTACTATTAAAAAGCAGGCTTCATTACCTAATCCCTCGCTCCTGCAGACCTCCTCTTTTTATGCCAGGGGTCCCTCAAAGCTGCTTCTCTTTGGGGCTCTGTCAGTCCCACTATGATGTCATCAGGTGCAATGCAGGACCAGCAGTCCTGTATGGAAAATGAGGACAACATGGACCCGCTCACAAACTTGGAACATCGGAGGGAAGAGGACAGCATCAGATATCTGGGGAGTAAGAGAAAAGGTAAGGATACATGCATTTTAACAGGACCCTAGACAAAAATTAGCATTTAACCCTTGCAGTGCAGGAGGAGCTCCAATGCAAGGGTAGTTATGAATCCCCCCCCCTAGAGTTCTGCTTTAAGCAATATACGAGGGACGTTCAAGTCAAACCGAGAATTTTACTTTTACAGGTATAAAAGGGGATGCTATTGTGGCACTACTACACGCAGTAGTAAGTGGCAAGAGTGCCCTATTACTGATAGGCAGTGCACATGTCATGGGCCAGTCCAGAGACCATTAATCAAGATGGCAGACAACAGTGTTAGTGCGTACTTGAAACAGCATGTGGTGATGAAGTTTCTCGTGAATGAAGGTGTAAAACCCGTGGATATCTACAGAAGACTTCAAACACACTACACAGATGAGACGCTCAGCGGCAGTAAGGTAGAATGTCACCAGCACACCGAGGATCACCAATATGGGTCCAAAAGTTTTAATGAACGATCACATAGTTACAGCAAGGCAACGTTTCGGAGTCTCGCAGGACCCCTTTATCGGGCCAGAGTAAGACATTTGAATGGTGTAAACATTTTAAAGATGTCAGTATGTCCATCAGTGACCATCCCAGCCATAGTGGTTCCCAGCCCACAGTAGTCATTCCTGTGAACATTCAGCGCGTGGAACGCCTGATCCTGGATAACTGACCATAACCTGTTGTGAAATTGCATAACAAGACTAGTTTTTCTGTGGGAACAGTGAACACAATGATTATGAAGTGAAGCAGGCTGTCCTAGGATGGTTCAGGCGTACTGACAAATCTTTCTATGCTGAAGCTTTCCAGGCATTAGTTAAATGCTGGGATAAGTGTATAAATGTAGCAGGAGAGTATGTTGAAAAATAAATGCAGTTTCCACTCCTTGAAATTTGTTCATTTTTAATATATAAACTCAAAAGTCCCGGTCTGACTGGAACACCCCTTGTACTATCCAGATTTCATTATTTTAAAAAGTAATTCTAAATTTAAAAAATGGGTATTAAGTCATTAACCACCTGCCACCCGCCATATAGTACAATGACGGGCACAAGGTGGTTTTCTCGTTCTGGGACAACGTCATATGACGTCTTCCCATTCTAAATGCGCATGCATGGCTCCGGGAGTGCTCACCGCGGTGATCGGTGGTGCGCTGTGTCCCTCGGACACAGCGGATCACCTATCAATGGAAAGAGCCAAAGATATCGGCTCGGTCATGTGATCAGCTGTGTCCAATCACAGTTGATTATCAGCATTTCTCTTCACAAGCTGTCACGCTGACAGCTCGAGAGGAGAGGAGAGATGGTAATTGGCATCCCTCAGAGGGGACATGTACACTGATCATCAGGGTACTGATGATCAGTGTGCCCTGATGATTTGTGTAGCCCCAGCAGTGCCACCTGTCAGTGTCCATCAGTGTCAGCTATCAGTGCTCATCCATGCCCCCTGCCAGTGCCCATCAGTGCCACATCAATACCACATTTCAGTGAATACCAGTGTACATCAATGCCACATATCAGTGCCCATCTGAGCTGCCTTTCAGTGTCACCCAGTGCCAGTCAGTGCCACCTATCAATGCCAGTCAGTGCCACCTATCAGTGCTGCCAATTAGTGCCGCCTATCAGTGCCAGTCAGTGCCGCCTATTAGTGTGCATCAGTGCCGCCTATCAGTGCCAGTCAGTGCTGCCTATCAGTGCCAGTCAGTGCCATCTAACAGTGCCAGTCAGTGCCGCCTATCAGTGCCGCCTATCAGTGCCACCTATCAGTGCCGCCCATCAGTACCATATATGAGTGCTGCCTTTCAGTGCCCATCAGTGATGCCTGTCAATGCCCATCAGTGCCACCTACCAGTGCCTCCTCATCAGTGCCCATCAGTGCCACCTATCAGTGTCCATCAGTGCAGCCTATCAGTGCCCATCACTGCAGCCTCATTAGCGCACATTAGTGAAGGAGAAAAATCACTTATTTACAAATTTATAACAAAAACTAAGAAAAAAACGTGTTTTTTTCAAAATTTTCAGTGGTTTTCAGTTTGTTTAAGAAAAAATAAAAAACCCAGAGGTGATTAAATACCACCAAAAGAAAGCTCTATCTGTCTCAAAAAAATGATAAAGATTTCATATGGGTACAGTGTTGCATGATTGCACAATTTTCATTCAAAGCGTGATAGCGCTGAAAGCTGAAAATTGGCTTGGGCAGAAAGGAGGTATAAGTGCCCGGTAGGCAAGTGGTTTTAAATATATCTGGTTCTTTGACTTTCTTTACCATAAGAAAACAGCTCAAATGAAAATGATACCTCCATACCCGACAGTCTCGACGATTATGTGTCTGTACCCTCGCCACTGACAGCACAACTGATACAGAAAGAGAGCTATGAAAGCTACTATTGCATCACAGGAATGTTTCCAAGTTCAGATTTACTTAACTACGATATAATGATGAAATGGAATGGGCAGATAGAGGAACAGAAATTAAAATTCTGCCCATGAACCTGGCAGTTTCAGTGAACACATCACATATTAAGCTACGTCAGAATGCTGTACAGTAAACATGAAACATGCAGGCATCACTTTTATTTTTCAAATTCATAATGCAAATGCTATTATATTGTAAGCTGTTATGAGGATGGCCCTCATGTATTTTATTGTATTGTAACTGTTCTGCCTCCCTTTATATTGTAAAGCGCTGTGCAAACTGTTGCTGCTATATAAATCCTGTCTAAAAATGATATGAATAATAATAATAATTACTGCTGAGCACTCAGCAGAGGAAAATCAATAACATTTGTTTAAACGATAACTCCACTTTTGTTTAAAAAAAAATAGCAATTAAAAAAGAATAACATAGCATGTACAATTGTTACACAAGCCATTTTGTAATTTAATGTTATTACAAACTATTTCATTTTTAATCTGCAGCTGCAGTAACTTTCTCTAACATGCAATGCAGTATGGCAGCCTGGAGGTGTTCTGTACACTTTTGGTGTATGGAACACCCCAGAAATGTAATTCCTGTTTGTGTAATTGGCACGCTGATTTTCTCAGACATCTGCACTAAGATACAGTTCACATTTTAGGTATCCCCTGCAATAGGAATATCAGTTTTGGTGAGAAACTCCCCAAGGGTTAAAGGCTAACTCCACTTTTATGGGGAAAAAATAACAAATAAAACAAAATAATAGAGCATATACAATTGCTTCATTTTGTAATTAAATGTTATGAAAACTGACCTTTTCTTTTTAATCTGCAGAGCTGTAATTTTCTTTAAAATGTATGCACTTTGGCAACTTGGAGGTGTTGTGTATACAGATGGTATATAGGATGGGATAGAAAATGTCATTTTCTACTTGTGTGAATGACTTACTGATTTTCCCAGAGGTCTACACTAAGGTAAAAGTCAGGTTTTGGGTATCCCCTGCAACAAAAATTTCATTTTTGGTGAAATACTCCCAAAGAGAAATCAAGTCAAAAGGGACGCAGACCCTGCCATTTTCCTAATTAGAACCCTGCAAGTGCAGCAGCTGATAATGATAAATCACTTCCATTCACATTCACTTTGCACATGGACGCAGACAAACAAAGAGCTTTTTTTCAGCAAAATAAAAAAGGTAGGAATATGCAGTTCAAATGCAGCAGAGATTGTTCAAATCCTTGCAATGTACATAGATAACCCAGAGGGTAATTATTTTTTTTCTCAACAAAAGTGGAGTTACTCTTTAAATACCTCTAAAGGTCTGCAGACACTGCAACTTTTGTCATTACATATTGAGATTTGCTCAGGTGGTTATAATGAAGGCTGATTCTCCCATTCAGAATAAGTCTTCTAATGACACGGTGAAACAAATAGTTTGTTAAAGTCCTTGCAATGTGCATTGATCTCTCAGAGGGGACAGTTTTTTTTCTCAATAAATAAGGATCAACACTTTAAATATCCACCAGCTCTACAGAAATCTGTATGGCGCTTGCTTATAGTCAAGTCTCCTGGCATTGTTCTGTGCTGAATCTGAATGGATGTTGAAAGTGAACACATGAAGTTTGATGGAACAGTAAAAATAGTATTTTGTTTAATATTCTAGCATGATCATAAATGGAAAAATCTGAAAACAGCAGTGTATATATATATATATTTACTTATTTTTTGTTGTTTTTTTTTTTATTACATAACTTTGTTAAGAATTTCATTCAATCTAGGTATTATATAAAGCATAATTAGCCAAAAAATGTCTCCCAAATGACATATTTTTCAATAAATGTTGTATATTCATATATCCAGTATACCATGCTAGAGAATGAGTAATAAGCATGCTATACAGAACATAAGGAAGATGAGCACACAGTATCTAAGGAGATATTCTCTGGATTTTGTGTACATAGGCATATTACCTCATTGTATATGACCAGATAGGCAGGGGAAATGTGTTTCTGGAGACATCGCCAACTAATTTTAAATATCTCTGCTAAAGATCATTCCTTTTTACTATTCTATCTGCTCTGCAGTAATTTGAAAATAAAAAGATGCTGCCTATATGGCACTTTCCTCCTCTCCATTACACACAGCCACAATTCAACAGCGCTGGTCCTTTCGCCATGTGTATAAATTGCCTTTTGCTGTAAAATAGGTCGAAGGTATAAAAATCATTTATAGCACAGGCATGCAAAGTTTAACACTGCAGGCACAGCAGACAATATAATCTGGTTTAAATCTTCCGCTGTCATGCTTTGTGTTATAAAACCCACTAAGAAAAGGTTAAAAACCAAAAATGGCTGTATTCAAAGCAAAGGATCCCACTCTACGTGTTTTATCACAATAACCCACCTCTGTATTGCTTTGTATTTCCCAGGTTTGTTTGTCATCAAGCTAGCCATGGTATAGGCTTGTTACATTTCCAGCTGCTATTTAAGCTGATTATATTATATTATATTATATTATATTTTATTTGTGTGTATGTATTTTATATAAAATAGCATGTGTAAGCATAAGCAAACTTGCTCTAATACTACTAATACACATTATCTACTATTACTACACATTACTACTACATACATCATTATCACAAAATACTCTATCTATCTATCTATCTATCTATCTATCTATCTATCTCTATCTATCTATCTATCTATCTATCTATCTATCTATCGTATCTATCTATCTATCTATCTATCTATCTATCTATCTATCTATCTATCTATCTGTCTCAGCCTTTCTCAATCTTTCCAATTTTCCAATACAGAGGAACCCTTTAAATAACATTCTGGTCTCAGTGAACCCCTGCTAAAATTACTATATCTATAACTCATGGTACATGACTATCATGAGTATGATGGTCAGTGGGAAGAATGCTCCATAAACCGATGGTCTTAAGGAAGAATTATCCCCTTACAGATACTGTAGCTAAAACGATCTGTGGTGTCAGTGGGAACTTATCTGAGAGGCAGAATGTGCTCATTGGTCAAGGAACCCCTAGTATAACTTTTGGAGGAACCCTGGTTGGGAAACCCTGATCTATCTAATTATCTATTTTTCTATCTATCTATCTATCTATCTATCTATCTATCTATCTATCTATCTATCTATCTATCTATCTCATGATATATATATATTTATATATTTTTATACGTACATTTGCAATATATACAGTATATAGTGCATAAGGTTGTGTATTGCAGATTTATAAAGAGAGGAGGAAATCTATGAAAATTATATGCATCACCAGAACGGAAACTTATAGTGGGAGAGACACTAGAGTTATGAGAGATGATTAGTTCTCAGGGTATGTGCAGAGAGATTTGTACAAAGACTGAGTGTGAAAGGACACATCTTCATATATTTTGGTTGTGAAGACCATAGCAGTTGAATGCTTAGAACTCCTAAATTTTTGTGCGTTCTGAAGATAAAATGAAATGTTAAGTTAGTGACTAGTTCCTGCAGTGGTATCTGTGTAATTTTTATTATTGTCTATCTGTGAGTACAATTGTAACACAATATCTAATCGTAGATCTACACCCTCATATGGTGGGTGCTATAAAATACATGTATTATCTTTAGCATGTGTGGTTTGTGGTGGAGATTCTATCAGGGGACAAAGGGTGACATCATGGATTGACATATTGCTGATATGTCTTCAGAGGATGGACTTTTCCCTTTAACTAACATTTCTACTTTTTTTTTTTAAATATTCAGAAAGCAAATAAGTATTTTGGATAAAATTGAGAGGTTCTGCAATCAGTAAAAATTATTTAGAAATATAAAGGACAAGACCAGAAAATGATATTGGTCCTTTATCAGATAAAAAGGCATATCCTTGCGAGCCAGTCTATTCATTTAACAGATTTGTCTCTTACACTCAGGTATCTGTGCTGCCATATGGGAATGTTTACCTATGAGCAGTTTTGTTTTTCGGGGAACACCTGAAGTGTACTAAGCCGATAAATATTGTGTCAATTTAGGCAAACTAGTTTCCAAACACAGTAAAGCATTGCTTGAATGCAATACAAGCACATACCTATTATTATCATCATGAATGCCCCAGGCGTTATAATGCAAATCTTGACTTTTGCAGAGAAAGTCAAGGGCTGACTCATTTCCCCTTGATCCCTTCTGCCCTCTGTAGCTCTCTGTTGAACAATAAGGTAACCCATCAACTTAAAGAACCATTATGGATTTACGGGAGGTGAGGTGTGCTGGACCAGCCACCAACTTCTTGTCATAGCTGAGTCTTGCATATAAGTGTGCCACAAGATATAGGGCTACTTTGACACCTGTGAAGACAATAAAAGGTACATGCAAGCACCTGTCACAAACCTTGTCAATTAAAATTAAG